GATGGGCTTTATCGTGACTACAACATATGCTAATGGCGCACTATTATAAACATCCGCAACCTACACTAACCCAATGTGATAGATATAATAAACGGATAAACGCCTATTACGAGACTATTACGTAATATAAACTTAAAGTTAATATCACAATGACAGTTACTACGATTTAAACTCAACGCAAACGTGAATGGAAAAGCAATTTCCTGTTATTTGAAAATAAACTGTGGATGAAAGCTATTGTTTGTTGACCAATGATCTTGCATACCTATTGTAATAATAACGTAACGATAATAATAATAAATCTTTTAGGCCTTGGGAGAGGCGAGAGTCTAAAACAGATATAATAATAATAATAACGCACACACTCACCGCACTAAGGAAACCCCGTATCGCGGGTTCCATGGACACACACATAGACAACCACAAATTACACCCAACGTCACGAGAGAAATAAGTGTAGGCGATACGGCCCGGGAATCGAACAGCATGCATGCATGATGACCACGGAGGCAGTTAATTTGTTATTGTTTACACTATGAAGTTATTTAGACATTTTTTGAATTTTTCTACTGTATTCGTCTCACCGAAGTAAAAACTGAATCTTTTTATATTATACATAGTGTCAAATTCTATAAAACAATCATAACATGTCCGAACTGTTGTATATCTCTCACGTGCCCCTTTACAGGTATCTCAACCCTGCATTGAAATCGACTATCTCACTATGATCTCACTGGGGTCGGTATTTCTATTTGTTCAGTCACGTGCATTGTACACACATATACATATCGCCGCCGCATCACGCCATATTTAAACAATGCAAACATGTTAAATATGGACTCGCGAAGACATCTAAATCTCGCGTGTATGCTGTTTAGCGTGATAAAGTCCCAAAAACCAGAGTACTTGTATGGAAATTCTCCACATTTCACGACAAATTTTCTATTAGAACCGTGAGACCTCTGTTGGCGGGACAAATTCATCGCACTGTGGCCTTTACTGGAAGCTTCCGCTATCTAGCAACGAAGTGTTGGAATAATATTCCATCCCCGCTTAGATTCCTTAAAAGTAAGTTTACGTTTAAAAAACATTTGAGGGAATTTATTTTTGATAGACAAAAACTGGGTATTCCTAAACGCTTTACATAGCGGAGGCTTCTAGAATGAAGTCCCCTTGCTTCATGGACATTTATTATCATTCTATGTTACAATGGCTTTCATTGATATTAAGTACTGATTATTATTATTATTTTATTCTAATTATACCAATTATGAATTTGTATTACTATTTTTGAAATTTTTTATTTTTTATTTTTTCAGTTACTAATTTTTTTTTAAATATTTTATAATATACATAATTTTCACGTGATACTAACATATGCACGCTACATTCACCTCACAATGTTTTTGTTTTTGACGCACCGCAACGCGCTACCCTCGAAGGTGATGGCTGAAAATCAGTGCCTTGCTCTTGAGCAAATTTTGCACTGACCCACGACCTATTTGGCTTGCTTTAGCACACACAAGCTGTTGATAATTAGGTTAGTATTATGTTTTTATGCTTTTTTTTTCGTTTTAATTTTGATTTCTGTGTGTCTCTTTTAATCAATGTACTCTATTATATTGTTTTGTGTGTGATGCAAGACAATAAACGTTTTATCTATATATCTATCCTTAGAATAATAACGCATAGAAACCTAGCCCGCACACGCTAAGTGAGGCAAGTTAGAGGGTTCCAAACGCGTCCCAGGAGCGCGCGGGCTGTTAGTGCTCAAGGTCATATTGCACCGCGAACAGCTCCAAAATTTTTTGCTAAAAATGACGAAATGTGCGGTAAATGGGTGTAAAAATACAACAGACAAACAAAATAGACACTAACATCGCATTCCACAAGTAAGTAATGCGTTTCAACTCATATTTATATGTAAATATTCACTAAAACAGAAAAATAATTTCGCGGCAACAAGATACGAAAGTGTTGCAAAGTAACGAATTTTTTTTCTCCCCATTTTGCTATTCTGTATCAAAATAATTATATTACGTAAATTTTAGTGGTGCCTGTAATTTCGATTTATTTGCGCATTTTGAACTAATATTTACTCGAATAAACATTAAATGTTTTCGTTAACTCCTGTAATTGATTGGGACACTTAATTATTTTATAATACTTTTAACGGCTCTGCGTTCATGCTTTATTGAATAATTATTTATTTTAATTTTATTTGAATTGGAGCACATATTGCAACAAATTTACAGTATATATTTGTTTCTACTATAGTGTTGGCACCACCAGTACAACTTTGATAGCTTATTTTATGTCTTTCTTTTCGTAACTCAAGCGAAATATTTTATATTGAAATATTTTATTTTCTTAAAAGGAGAGCATTCTTAAGCGATTTTTTAATCTATTTTAACAGTTATTTTCTTTAATGTTTGCTTATGGCATTTTCGGTTTTAGGTTTCGAATATGGCACTTATTTCTAAATCCAAGATGGCGGGCGCGATTTTTCGAATAATGGCAAGTTGGGTATCGTTTTCGAGATGTTTGGGAATGTTCAATACAAATATGGGACTCATTTCTAAATCCAAGATGGCAAACACGACAGTTCAAACAAAAGCAATATTCGTAATGAGCACCCCCAAATACCTCGAAAACGATACCCAACTTGCCATTATTTGAAAAATCGTGCCCGCCATCTTGGATTTACAAATAGTGCCATATTCACATTGAGCATCCCCAAATACCTCGAAAATGATACCCACGTAGCATTTTTTTGAAAAAATCGTGCCCGCCATCTTGGATTTACAAATGAGTGCCATATTCGTAATGAGCACCCCCAAGTACCTCGAAAATGATACCCATATTGCATTTTTTTGAAAAATCGTGTCCGCCATCTTGGATTTAGAAATGAGTGCCATATTCGTAATGAGCATCCCCAAATACCTCGAAAATGATACCCATATTGCATTTTTTTGAAAAAATCGTGCCCGCCATCTTGGATGTAGAAATGAGTGCCATATTCGTCATGAGCACCCCCAAGTACCTCGAAAATGATACCCATATTGCATTTATTTCAAAACTCGTGTCCGCCATCTTGGATTTAGAAATGAGTGCCATATTCGTAATGAGCATCCCCAAATACCTCGAAAAGGATACCCATATAGCATATTTTGAAAAATCGTGTCCGCCATCTTGGATTTACAAATAAGTGCTATATTCGTTTTTCATCGACAAAACCGAGCATATCTGTAGGCACCTGATCGACAATGTCGGGCAAATCTGTAGGCACCTTTAACTTAATGATGAGTTAAGCAAGATACAATTTCCCCACTTTTGAGGGAAATGTTATTCCATGGCATCATTATTTGTATATTTGTGTGCGTGCCGACGAGCGTAGTTACAAGTTGCTTACGCCCACATGAATTTGGTTTTTGCCTCACTTGTGACAGTTCGTTTGATATGAAACTATCATTCTATGCGTTATTATTCTAAGTATCTATCTATCATATACAATTTAATTTTCTTAGATAATTAATGAAAATGTGTGATAGATAATGAAAATGTACATCCATGAATCATTTATATACGGACAAGTATTTATGGTGACAAAACATTGTAAACCGACTTTAAAAACAAAGGTTCTGAAAGGTTTGATTTTCTAGATATCTTAGATATACACGTAGTTTAAATACATAGGTTTCTAGATAATATACGTAGTTTGATTAGTTTGAAATCAAACTCTTTTTAATTGACTTCAAGAAAAGGAGGAGGTTCTCAATTGGACTGTATTTTTTTTTGTGTATATGTTACGCGATCGGCATTTGTAAACATTCTTTTATGTTGGAAAAAGGGTACCTCGGTAGTGGTCCCATTTAATTCTGAAGAAAATATTCCACCTCTAAGGGTAACAAACTAGGACACTTTGCAGGAACCGATTTCAATAAAACTTGGCAAATAGAAGTCATTCCACTTCCACGAACTTTTGAGGTCGGTTTTTTGTTTTCTAGAAAAAATTTCATTTTCTAGAAAATGTCCACGTGTTATACAAATTTACAAAAATATTCGTAACTTCAGAGCTATCATATACCCTCTTTGGTGAAGATCTGATAGCTAAAACATGCGAAAGCAATACAACGTACATCGAAACAAAACGTGAAAAAATATATATTTATATTATTATATGAAAATAGTACATTTCGTTATGCCGTGCAGTTAATGTGCGCTCACATGTATAAATAATATACACGTGAGCGCACATTAACTGCAGGCATACGAAGACGCCTTTATTTGTAACAGAAAATGTGCAATCGTTTGTGAAATATTGTATTGTGACATTATAGCCAAATACACCCTAAGGGTCGAGCGATTGGAGTCCCGCCACAACGTGAATTTCAATTCCTTTGTGGTAAGAGTACCGACCGAACATCTGTCGACGTTCGTGAAGGAAGAATTTTGGCCGAAGGGTGTCATATATCGGCGATTCCGCGGCCGGTTACCTGACACCAGATTGGGCCACACGTCTCCGACAAGTGCAATACGTGTCGATTAGTTAGAAATATTGTTTTATTATATTGTGTGTAAGTTAGTCCTTAAGGTATATATTATATGAGTCATGTGGCCTGAAATAAATAAATGTAATTATATTTATTTGTGAAAAAACAATTATCATAGTAAATGAATAACCGAAAAACCGTATAAAATTCCTAAACTTTTCATTTCACAAAATTCCATTTTGAACTATCGTATATACGTATCATTTATTAACTGTATCAACATATTATTTTATTAGTTTAAAACAAATGTTTGTTTTTCAAAGCAAACGTGTATGGACATGTTTTTTAAAATAAGTGTTCTGAGTTCTGAGAAATAATCCTTTAATGAAACATGAGAGTATCAATGTTGATCGAGCTTTTGTTATCCACGTACGTTTGTTCTGCTTACACCGGTGGTTTAAGACAAGACAATACAAATTCGTATTTTCTCATAAATAGCTGTTTTACCCAGAATTGACGGAGCTGTCAACCTCAGGCCAGGAGAGACGTCGTTTGCAAAAGGCCATGGTAGGTTTTTCCACTGGCTGCTGTTGGCGCGGCACCCTCAGAGAGCCCCCGCGACGCGGCGGGGTGGCAGGGGCAAGACAGTCAAGCGTACGCCGACGAGCACTCAGCGCTGATGCTCCTTCAGTCGGCAACACACGAGGGAATCCAGCTACAAAAAACAAAAAGATTGAGAAATTGAGATCCACTACCAATATTTTCTATTCACACGACAAGGCGAGCTTTATCGGCACTCGTAACAAAACCACTGACTTTCATAGCTCATAGGTTAGCTCAGCTTGAAAATCAGGGGACAGATTACGTGGAGACAAAATTAACAAGCCATAGACTGTGTTTGGAAAGGCCAGCACAAACCAGCGGACGGCAAAGCAGAGGACATTAAATTTATTGGTAGCGCTAAAATGAAATATGGTATACATTTCAATATTATAATAAAGATACAGAGCGAACTGCGCCACGAAGCTCCGAAATTAGTTTCAGAGCATTGCAATTGAACCTTATAATTAAATTAAATTGTAATTAAGAACAATTATACCTTATATCGAGTTCTTAGGATTTCGCTATTGTTACACACTGGAAATGAAACTATTTTTAGGATTTTAACCAACCGTGACCATGGGACCTGTAAAGGGCCCGATGTTGATTTGTTTGAAAAAAAACGAAAAATGTTTCATTTCCTATGTGTAACAATCGTGAAAACTTCGATTTTTAGTAATCATAGTTTTGTATGCAATCAAGTACAGATATCTATCTACTAAACCCATTGACCTACACTAAACCAGTAAAACGCTAAAGAACGCTGATTTCAATAATAATGTGAATATGATTAACGGCATTTCATTGTTACTCCTAAGGTAATTTTTATTGTTACTCCAAGGGTCAAAAAAAGTTAAAAAAAATTTAATATATAAGCAAGGTTGTTTGTTAAATACTAAGAACCTCGCATGACTTTTTACAAAACATAATAAAATTTCGAAAAATAAACTTATAAGTTGTTGTTATCCTATCTGACACTTTTCTTTTTAAGCAAGTACATCAATAAAAAATAAAGAACTTTATATCCCACTAATAACACGAAGAAATAAATTAAATGTATGCCTTGACGTACACAGGTTGCATAGACAAATCTCTTAAAACAAGTCTCCACATAAAAATAATAATTCGAAAATTATCAAACAGTAGTCAATATTTTCTGTCCACATTCTCGACTCGTGAGTAGGTACGTCATCAACCGACGAAATTGTTATTCTACTACCATCATTTAATATCGCGATAAGCTTTATTCTATCCCTTACAAAGGAACATCATAATTTGTACAATATACTGTTATCATACATAATATCGTCATCGTAATTTTCCTTGAGTAGACATAGAACATTAAAGTAATTAAAGGAGGATGACCCTAACTCAAAACATCAAATTTATATAATTCGCTGATAATAAGAAATGAATGATGCCATACTTAATTAGCCATTAACTTGTTAATAGATATAATTTTGAAGATTTTCGAGCATTAGGAGAAGTTTAATTACCCCGAATGGCTTTGAAATTTGACTTCAAACGACAGGGAACTTTTAATCCGGAAGAAACAAGTTGGTGTCGCCACGTTTTTGTAATTAATTGGAACTGGCAAGTTAGTAAGAGCGTAGCATGGGAACGAGTGGCCCCTTTTGCCCTATATTTTTTCGAAGGTCTAGTCTAACTCTACTTTCCAAGTTTGGAGCCATGACAACACCCAAAGGACTCCAAGTTTGAGTCGACAAAATAGACGCCTTACTTCATAAATAAACATTTTTAAAAGTCCGAAGAGACTTTTCTGCTTAAATCAGCTCAAGCCCGTACTCGAAAATGGAATTGTGTTTGACTCGACTTAAAAGTAATTTATAAGAAATTCACTTAAATATACGTTAAGCAGATTAATTGGTAGCTAATTGACTCTATAGCTCAGTAATACTTACCCCTCATAGAGGCTGTGGAAGGTTGTGGTTGAGCCTGGTGCTCGTCCGCAGAACGATGACGCGAGGGGGGCGCGCGGCGGGGAGACAGCGCTAGTCCGGCTACGCTGTCGGCCACCCCTGCCACGTACTGGCCAATTGATGACAGGAAACTCATGGCTTTAGCCCACTTTAATAACCACTCACGTCAAACATTGAGATTTGAACCTTACACTGAACAGCTTATTAGTCGTAAATATTTTTTTCATTTAAAGATTTATGTAAATTAATCGACACACATTTCCAAATATGAATTATTTAACGCGCTAACTCTTTGTGTACACCTCGCTTTAAGGTTTTCACTGCAAACTATTACATCACTTTATTTTTGGGTCAGAGTTGGTAATCTGAAACAAAAGGAAAAAGTGTAATTAGTACTGACTGAAGGTAATTCTTCCTCATCGCATGCGCAGTAGAGCCACAAAAATAAGTATAGAGATTTATTATGATGGCATCCCAAGTATTTTCTCAGACCTTTTACTTTAGATATATACGTTATTGTACATGTTGGATAATACGTTATAAAGACAAAAATGCGAGGCTATTAAAAAAATTACGGATGGCAATATTCTTCATAACATGTTTAAGTTATAAAAAACTTTATGATTTTTTGTACAATACAATACTTTCCTGTAATGTTTAATAGAGCAATTCCAAACTATTCATTTAGTCCAAGCTATTTACTTATCTTAGTCAAACAAAAAGACTGTAAATTTAATTAACATTGGTTGATTTGGAACAACTCACATTAATCAATTTTTCATTACTATTTTTTATGATTATCAAATGACGGGACAAACTAGTAATGTTCGTGGTGTTAAGTAACACGCCAATCAAAAGTTGCAGTGCCACTAAGAGCTTTAAATCACAAAGATCTGAGGGGCACTGCCACTACGGCCGTCAGCCTGAGACACAAAGTTGACGACTCTCATGTGCCTGTAGTTTCACCAGCAAACCGGAACGCAGTAATCAGTACTGCTTGGCGGCACAAATAGGTCTGGTGTCAGTGCGTCACTGGACGAACTTTGCTCTTGTTTTTTTCTTTTGATCTCGATATTGATTGCACCGCAAAAGAAAGTTAAATTCCGTGAGTTGTAACCTCAAGTATATAGCTATATTTATAATTGTTTAATACTCAATACTTTATACTTTATTGGATAATACAATTGTTTAATTTGGTTTTATTAACTGAAATATGAAAACTATAAAAGAATATGTTCTAAGTTCTACTGTCAAAAGCAATGTACATATGCCCACTAAAGCACTGCAAACAAAACGAATATAATAGTGACATATTTAATTAAGCTCTATGTAAATAATAATTATAACAAGAGGACAATATAGGACAATTATGAGGGGCAAGGGGGCGCTACAGCAAACAAAAGGTCTATCTACGGTCAGCGCCTCGCATAAATCCATTAAGCTGGCCTGATATTTCATAATCCGCCCTCCTAGCAACGTTGTGTAGAACTAGCTCGTACCCGCAACTTCTTCTGCATAGAATAAGTACTTCGAGTCGCCTATTGTACTACGCACATTTTTATAGTTTTATTGGTCCATGCAAACTTTCACCCTCTATTTCACCCCCCTTAAGATTTATTTTTGTAACAAAAAGTAGTCTATGTCCTTCTCACTGGTCACATCTATCTCTATACCTTCTTCTTCTATCTCTATAAATTCTACAATATTCAGCGGTTTGCACGTGAACACGTGACAGAGAGCGTTTCTTTTGCATTTATAATAATAATATGGATACGGCTTGTAAGAACCCGCTAAAATTTTCGTTTAAACAGTAGCTGTAAATGTGTAAACAATTTAGGATAGCAAAAAGTTAGCTGATCTCATAAAAATACATGTCAGGATCGTAATAAGTTAAGGTCCATGGTTCTTGATTGTCCCACTGGAAGGCAAACGTGATAATTATGTTAGTGTCGTCGTAAAATAGAGAAAACTAGATATGCGGTTATTCTATTCAGGGTAATAGCGGCAGTAATAATAGATCTTCTCGTAAAAACTGTTGTAGTAGCAGCGAGCTTTAAGTTATAGCGAGAGAGAGAGTCAAGATCTCCTCGTACTCTAAAGTGCTTACAAGTCACAGTGAAAATATACTTTCGCTGTCGTACGAGTATATGTGTCCTGCAATGTACAACAGCTAGAAGGCTTTTGTTTTTACTTGACTTTTAACAAGCTAGAATAGAATTTATCTAATATTTAGTAGCAGTAGAGCTCCTTGTGAAAGAGTTCGTCCAGGGCAATACTGCAACCTTACCTATTTCTGCCGCCAAGCAATAATGTCATTATTACTGTGTTCCGATTTTGAAGGGTAAGGGTGCTGGTGGCAAAGGCACATGGGACTTGTCAACTTATGTCTCAGGGTGACGGGCGCAGTGGCAGTGCGCCTCAGATCTTTGCGATTTAAGGTTCTGAGTGGAACTACAACTGTTATGGACGGGCGTGTAGCTTATTATCAGGCGCACGACTTGTTCGTCCCTTCATTAGAGAGTATAAAAAAATCTATTGTACCATATATAAAGTTACCTAGAACCTGAACGTAGATCCAGAACAGAAAAGTTACAAAAAATGCCTTTTAACTAAGAAGGATAAAACGCGAGTTTTGCTCTTAATTACTTAATTTTATGTACAATCAATAGCACATATTTTTGTCAGAATGTCGCCTCTAGTGTAACTGAACAACATCCGTCAATGTGTAGCTTAATGTACTGCCGTCTTTACACAAATTCAATCATTTCAGAAATAGTTCTGTGCTATTTTGTGTGTTATATTACAACAATTTTTGGTACTCCAGACGCCATATTTCGAAACATTTCACGAAAAACATTAGTGGAGTGACATTGCATTTCATTTTAATCTTAAAAAACTGCTAATAATAAATTACTTCAATTGATTACTAAGTATTTTATTAGCAGTACTTTGTTACTTAAAGAAATTCGTAAGATAGAGTGGCTCGATCTGCAACTCAGTTGGCAGAACGCTAGCTCGTAGACGCTGTTTTGAGTCCAGTCGGATCGAAGGAATTTTTCTTTGTTATAAAAATCATTAATACAAATATCGAATACTTAGAAAAAATCCTTCGAACCAATGTCTTCTAGCAAATTGTACCAAACGCTACGCCAAGTAAGCCAAGGAACGAACCAACGGACCTTATGAATCTTTCTATGTGCTTCTTGTACCTACAAGAAGCACATAGAAAGATTCATAAGGTCCGTTGGTCTTGGTTTTGTAACGACTTTTTATGCCGTAGCACTATCTGTGGGAAATCTATTGAATCATGGCGGTGAAACATCCTGACTTTCAATAAACATAATTACATTTTTTTCTTTGTGTTTGTTCGATCTTTGTATCAATAATAATAACAGTTAAAAACATTACGATAAACAATGAAAATTAAAAATTCTTTATTCTTTCATTGTCAAAACATCCTCCAAAGTGAATACATTTAACGCTTCTTTTGTAAGTGACTCACTCATTGTTTACATGTTTGCAACCAAATCGGGGCAACCTCCGATTCTCGAAAACTGAATATTTACGTTAATTTTTCGTAGTGAGTAGATATTCAAAGCAAGATATGTATTTTTGAATGATTCTGTTAGGAACTCAGGTGTCGTTTTTGATACTCATCTTAATTTTCATGAGCATAACGTTAGCCGCTGGTTGCTGTCAGAGATTAGGGTACGTTATCCGGAACTCTCGTGATTTTTATGACCCTACGGTCATCAAACTTGCTTACACCGCTCTCGTCAGAAGTAAACTAGAGACAGACGGCTTCAATAATTTGGAACCCTCGTGAGATTACTTACATCCAGCTTCTGGAGAAAATTCAAAAGACATTTTAAAATTCTTATATAAATCAATTTATGGGTACCATAGACTTTTATAGCCTACGAAATTCCTCCTTGGCGTCTTGGGATATAAATTTTTGGAAGTAAGACGTAATTTTGGTCTGATGACTATTGCTGGCAGAATCTTGCGAGGACACTCTAATTGCCTAGAATTAGTGGTGCAACCGGTGCGCCTGTTCGTCGCCCTGCTAAATAAATTTAATCAGCGGCCACGTTGGTCACCATTTTCTGGCAGTGTCGGCAGTGTGCACTGTGTCACACAGTATGTCACCACTCGTTCGCGCTCTATACTGTTTTGATGCGGTTCTCGATTCTACACCAGACTGCGATGTTTTTGCAAGTAGGTGGGTGATGATTGTTTGAAGTTTTGTCAGAGGATGGATGAGCGACTATTATTTGTGATTTACTGTTAATATTACCTAGTTATTGAATTTCACAGTGCCTGGTGATTCACTGTAATGCTGTGTAATTTTATGAAATAAATAAATAAAATAAAAATATGTTAAGTACATGAATTACTTACGGAATTATCATTTAGTATTCTAGTACTTCGAGCGCTACGCTATTAGCTTGTAAGTGCCAAATTTTAACATGTTTATTTTAATTCATGTTAAGTTTTAACTGTTTTCTTAATTTTTTTAATGCTAATAATAATATTGTGTAGGTTTCAAAAATTAGAGAACTTCCTATTACGATAACTTCGATTCGATTTGACTTGATTAGCTTTTTGTAGTTCTTTGCGTGCTACGCCAAAATAATGTTTCCCGTATCAGTTTGCTACGAAACTTAACAATAGTTTGTGTTTGTTTTAATGTTGGTTTTCTTTGTTTTAGGTTCAGGCTGACTCTGAGTCTTTAGCCGACAGTATGTATTCGATATTTGATACAAATACAACAACCAAAGATTGACAAGTTCTGAGCATGTATTTGATTTGAGGAAATACACATATTTATGCTGACAAATAGAATTGTTCTGTTGAATAATCGTAACAGCATTTAAACTACATTTGTATAAGGATAAACTTGCTTTGAAAAACAAACCTGATTACAAAAAGAATAAATTTAGCCTTGGAGATTGTCTGTCAGCCAAGCTTATCGATACGTGACGACTCTCTTCTAAAACGCAAGGGCGACCGAAGAAGAACTTAGTCGAATACTGTAAGCGCTCACAATATCTAGAAACCCGTCAATCTGGCGGAGGTCCGCCAGACATTTACTTCAGCACTGGGTAATGACTCAGCTGGAATTGACGCAGTTTATGAAGCTAGTTAAGCTGAGGCTTCGGTCAATGACATCACTTCCCTTATTCTGAAAGCAAAATTTACAAAGCACCAACACTTGTTGATTCGCACATTTGTAAATAATATGTCGCCGTCTCATTTGTTGCCTGTGCCTATACCATGAGATTATAGTGACAGTTATCGCTAGCGGCCACGTATAATATTTATATACAAAATGTTTTCTTCTTGTGACCGCTAGGGGCGCTAT